TCTCAGTGCTTGAGGACCAAAATATGGAACTAACCCAAACTGTTAAAAACATAGAAAAGAAGCTAAAAAGACAGAATAAGATGAGCGATTATTTCAAGAGGCCAAACCTAAGATTAATTGGAATTCTTGAGGCAGACAGAGAAACAGAGACCACCCTGGAACAAACATACTATGAAATTATCCAAGAAAACGTCCTTGATCTCATCAGTGACACGACCATTCAAACACAAGAGATTCAGAGAATCCCTGCAAGACAACAAATGAAAAGACCAACTCTTAGACACATAGTAATTCACCTACACAAAGTAGGTATACAAGAAAAAATCCTAAAAGCAGCAAGAGAGAAAGGTCAGACTGCCTACCAGGGAAGACCAATTAGAATAATAGCAGACTTATGTACAGAAACACTTCAGGCTAGGAGGACTTGGAGCCCAATCTTCAAAGTTCTCTAAGATAAACAATTTCAACCAAGAATTACTTACCCAGCTAAGCTAAGCTTCATCAGTGATGGAAGATTAAAATCCTTCCCAGATATTCAATCCCTAAGAGCTTATGCTGCCTCCAAACCAGCTCTACAAGAAACACTTAAGAAAGTATTAAACACAGAAGAAAGGAAAAAAAGAACAACAATGCCCTTCACAAGAATGCAGGAAAAAGACTGAAAACACAGGAATCAACCCCCAAATCAAAAGAAAGACAACAAACAAACAGCAGCAACAACAATAAACTCTATAAGAACCTCATGACAAGTATAAACTCTCACATCTCAATAATTAGCAATGTGAATGAACTAAATGCACCACTGAAAAGACACAGAATGGCAAAATGTATAAAATCTCACATACAACAATATATGGTCTCCAAGAGACTCATCTCACCAGAAAGGACACTCACAGATTCAAAGGGGATGGGAAACAAAATTTCAGGTGAGTAGAACACAAAAGAAAGCAGGAGTCACAATCTTAATATCAGACAAAATACCCTTTAAGCTATTAAAAATTTAAAAAGCTAAGGAAGGTCACTACATAAAGATAGAGGGTTCAATCCATCAACAAAAAGTATCCATCCTAAACATATATGCACCCAACATACGAGTACCATCTTTCATAAAGCAGCTTTTAGGTAACCTTAAAAAAGATATTGATTCTAACAATATAATAGCTGGGAACTTAAATAACCTACTCACAACCCTAGACAGATCATCAAGACAAAAAATGAACAAGGAGATCGAGAACCTCAATGTGACACTTGACCAAATAGACTAAATTGATACCTACAGAACACTCTACCCAACAATCACAGATAATACATTCTACTCATCACCACATGGAATATATTCTAAGATCAACCACATCCTCAGTCATAAATCAAGCATAAACAAATTCCATAAGATTGAAATACTGCCATGCACCATCTCAGACCACAGTGGAATAAAAATAAATATCAACACCAACAAAGTTCCCCCAAAACCCACAAAGACATGGACACTAAACAGCATGATGCTAAACAACTTCTGGGTCAACATGGAAATCAAAACAGAAATTAAAAGATACCTTGAAACCAATGAAAATAAAGAAACATCTTACCCAAACCTCTGAAATGCCATGAAAGCAATCCTAAGAAGGGAATTCATATCTCTATGAACATACATGAAGAAAATGGAAAGATCACAAGTTAACAGCCTAACAGATCACCTAGGGAAGCTGGAAAAACAAGATCACCAAAACTCTAATGTCAGTAGAAGAATCCAGGTCACCAAAATAAAAACCCAAATTCAGGACATAGAAGACAAAACCATAATCAAAAATAAATAAATAATAAATAAATAACTAAAACAAAAAGCCACTTCTTTGAAAGGATTAAACAAGATTGATGGACCCCTAGCTAAACTGACAAAGAAAAAGAGAGAAAAAGCCCAAATAAACACAATCAGAAATGCAAAAGATCAAGTCACAAAAGATTATCAGATACAAAAAGATACAAAAGATTATCAGAGACTACTATGTACACTTGTATGGAAACAAACTTGAAAACCTAAAGGAAATGGAGGACTTTCTGATATCACACAACCTCTCCAGCTTGAAACAAGAAATCGAGACCCTAAATAGATCAATAACAATCCAGGAAACTGACTATGTCATAAGAAAAATTACTTACAAAAAAATGTCCTGGACCAGATGGCTTTCCAGCAGAATTCGACAAAACGTAGAAGGAATAACTGATACCAATTCTATTGAAAGTATTCCAGGCAATTGGGAAAGACAGAAGTCTCCCCAAATCATTTTATGAAGCTAACATCACATTGATTCCCAACCAGATAGAGATTCAATAAAGAAAGAGAACTATAGGCCAATATCCTTGATGAACACAGATGCTAAAATTCTCAACAAGATCCTAGCAAACCGAATTCAACAGCACATCTCAAAAACATCCACCATGGCCAAGTAGGCTTCATCCCCGGGATGCGAGGTTGGTTCAACATTCACAATACCATAAACATAATGAAATGCATCAACAGATGTCAAAACAAAAACCACATGATTATATCATTAAACATGAAAAACGCTTTTGATAAAATCCAGCACCCCTTCTTGGTAAAAACCCTTGAACATCTAGGCATAGGTAGAACATACCTCAAATTAGTAAGAGCTGTCTACGAGAAACCCACAGTTAGCATACTGCTAAACAGACAGAAATTGGAACCATTTTCCCTGAAAACCAGAACAAGAAATGGATGCCCACTCTCACCCTCCTTTTGGAAATCCTGGCTAGAGCAATCAGACAAGAGAAGGAGATCAGGGTCAACCAAATAGGAAAAGAAGAAGTCAAGTTATCCCTCTTTGCAGATGGCATGATTCTATACCTCAAAAACCCAAGAGAATCTGTCAAAAACCTCGTTGCACTGATAAAGAACTTTGTTAAAGTCTCAGGGTATGAAATAAATGTGCAAAAGACAGTCGCATTTCCATATGTCAACAACAAACAAACAGAAACCCAAATAAAAAGCACATTCCCATTCACAAAAGCCACAAAAAAAAAAAAAAAAAAAAAAAAAGGAATGCCCTGGCATCTTCCTAACCAGAGACGTGAAAGACCTTTACAACAAAAACTACAAAACACCACTCAAATAAATCAAAGATGACACAAACAAATGGAAAAATATTCCATGCTCATGGATTGGAAGAATCAACATTGTTAAGATATCTATTATACCCAAGGCAATCTACAGATTTAAAGCAATACCCATTAAACTACCAGCAGCATTCTTCTCAGATCTGGAAACGACAATACAGGAATTCATATGGAAACATAAATGACCACAAATAGTCCAGACAATCCTTAACAACAACAACAACAAAAAACAACAAAGTGGGAGGTATCACATTCTCGACTATAAACTTTATTATAAAGCTACAATAATCAAAACAGGCTGGTATCAATACAAGAACAGGCATATAGGCCAATGGAACAGGTTAGAGATTCTAGAAGCAAAAGCCTGATTTCTCAAACCACTCATCTTTGACAAAGCCTCCACCACTAACCACTGGGGGGAGGAGAACCTATTCAGCAAATGGTGCTAGGAAAACTGACTGATCACATGCAGAAGATTGAAACAAGAACCCTACCTATCCCCATACACAAAAATCAACTCTAAATGGATCAAATACCTAAACATAAAACCTCAAACTAAAAGAAACTTAGAAAAGACAGGAGACACCCTTATGGAAACTGGAACTGGCAACCAATTCCTGATCAAAACCCTAAGTGCCCATGCCATAAGAGATAAGATAGACAAGTAGGACCTCATCA